CACCAAATTATTGCTTCAACCAAATGTGTATTTAGTAGGTTTTGCTGGTTGGATGCCATGCAGTGAAGATCACACAAAATGGATATGAGTTTATATTTAGTTTTGAAATTTACACTCTGAGATCATTTGATAGTCTAAATTTGTGCAAGTTGGAAGAAAATAATTGATGATGTGACCCATAGTAATTCTTATATATAATCCCACAATATTTTCTCTTAGGTTAACATCAGTAGACATGAGTGATTATGGCCAAAGTTTTGATTCAATCCAAGCTGCAGACTCTTGCATTCTTCATTTGAACATGCAAGTTGCTAGTCTGAATTCATAGACTTATAATCTATTTATTATTGATTATTTATGGTTATTTTGTAATTGAACAGGTTTGTAAAGATTTTGCTTGTCAAATGAAATGAGTGTCTGTCTAAAAAAGATAGTCAGTAAGGTGACTGGCTAAAGGCTTTCCAGTATTACCATTTCAACACAATTCTATATCTACTCTGTTGGTAATCACAAGGATATGTTGATGTCAACCTTAGAGAAAATATTATGAATTATATATATATCACAAGCATATTCTTACAGTACGAAACAGTGAAACAACAGTGTTGACAGTCAAACTATTGCTGAAATAATACAGAATACAAATGTATCATTGTACGTGTCTCATGTGCTGATTGTCTTGACGCCAAGGTGTTCTATTTCATGCAAACACCTTGTGTATACTGTATGGCGATTCTTTTTTTTCAACCGAATTTTTGGAGGGATTGAATAATAATTCTAAAAAACACACATGAGCTTGTAAAAATGAACCATTGTACATGTCTCATGTGCTAATTGTGTTGACGGCAACACCTTGTGTATACTGTATGGCGATTCTTTTTTTCAACTGAATTTTTAGAGGGACTGAATAATAATTGCCAAAATGATTCATTGTTACCACAATCCATATTTTAACAACCCGTATACAAACCTGGAAACTCCAAACATCATTCAGGCCATGCATACAATGAAAAATTTTTTTTCTTTTTCACACTGTGGTGATATGCAAGTTATGTATGCGATAAGACCAGAAACCAATCATTGTAAATCCACATATGTTGGAGCTCCGTTCAAAATCTCTAGCAAAGAAATTCAATCACAATCAAGTGATTGACAAATTCAGACATGTTAAAAAACAATTGAAAATTTTTACACACTTAAGTCGAATTCAAACTATGAAACATTTCAAATATGTCATAAGATCCAAATAATTCTTATAAATCACTGATTAAATTTGATTTAGGTGCTAACTAGGTGCCAAGTTTCACCGAACTGAGTCTGAATTAGATGCTATGATACAATCGTATAAGATTCCAATAAATGTTGCGATTATAAATATAATACATTTTTAGTCATATTTCTTGTTATAAGTCTTGTGTATTCCTTTTAATCTGTTGAAAGTAAAGCGTGAGGCATGTTTTTTTATTTTGTGTCAACAATTTATGAATCTTTAACGTACGTGGGGCCTACATATTAAATCTATCAAATTTGATTCATGTGCTAACATGGCACCAAGTTTCACCAAACTGAATCTGAATTAGATATGCTATGATACAATCATATAAGATTCCATTAAATTTTGATATTATAAATATAATACATTTTTAGTCATATTTTTTTTCAATAAATTTCTTGTGTAAAATTTGACTGATCCTTTTAATCTGTAAAGGTAAAGCACCAAATTTGATGTGACGCATGCATTCAAATTTTGTGCAAACAATTTATCTAACACATCTTAACACATATCACATGAGGCCTTCATATTAATCTATTGGATCAAAATAATTGATTTATAAATAATTTCAATATTGAAATGAAGCATCTATAAATATTTTCATTTCAGATGTTGGCTTGCGGTGAACGGATTTACCTGTAGCTGGAACTGAGGATAACTCGCTGTATATGTGGGGACGTGGATTCAAACCATCTCAGTCATCCAGTGAAGAGAATAGTAAAAATACCAGTAATGATTCTAAAGAGAGTGCTGGATGGTCTCGGAGTCACCAACGTAACCCCAGTGATGCATCTATCGGTTCTGCAAGTAGTTTAGTCGTGTTTAATGATAAACCGATCCCGAGTGAGCGTACTCGCAACGGAAGCGTAGGTAAAGATCAGAACATCAGTAATCATAGTTTACATGGAAATAAGTGTGTCTGATTATTTGGTATTTGTCATTTAATTTGATCACATATTTCGCTCAATAGAAGGGAATTTTATTTTTGTGGCATTGATTGGTACATCTAGAATCACAATATCACACATGCAAGTTTATGTTACACCTCAAAACGATATGAGCACGCATGTGAAACTTTGTATTTTCGACTTCTGGGAAAGTACGGTAGTCTCTTATGCAAATTAACTTGACTTGTATAGCACCCTCTGGCATTATGTAGGTAAATTGTTTAGGGCCCTCTAGCAATGTGTAGGTAAACCGTTTTGTTTAGGGCCCTCTAGCAATTTGTAGGTAAACCGTTTTGTTTAGGGCCCTCTAGCAATGTGTAGGTAAACCGTTTTGTTTAGGGCCCTCTAGCAATGTGTAGGTAAACCGTTTTGTTTAGAACCCTCTAGCAATATGTAGTAAACTGTTTTGTTTAGGGCCCTCTAGCAATATGTAGTAAACTGTTTTGTTTAGGACCATCTAGCAATATGTAGGTAAACTGTTTTGTTTAGGACCCTCTAGCAATATGTAGGTAAATTGTTTAGGCCATCTAGCAATGTGTA